TTTTGTGCTGTACATTCTGAGTGTGAAAAACCTTGCCTTAGGGAGAATTTTACTCATTCTAAAAGAGAAAATATTTGTAGGAGGGGTTTTTTTTAGTGCTCCCCCCAAAAAAAAAGTCCTTGGGGAAAATTGTGAACAAAAGTTTTTCCAGGTTTTTCCACCCCCGAGTTTCCACATCTCTACCCATATCTTTCTGCGTTTTCTGCAAATGCTTCTTGTGAGAACCTTCTTGGCTGCATTTCTCCTCCTCTTCTGTCTTCACAGAGGCTTTGGGAAGTGTTTCCTGGGGGTGTGCTTTCCTAGAGCGTTCTGAGGTGGGCGGTGCAGAGCTCCTGCATCCCCCCCAGTTCCTGAACTGTGGAGCAGGCAGCATCCTTACTTCTCGTGGGTGGCCACGCTGTTGCTCAGTGACATCAGTAACATCAGTTTGCTCTGAGCCAGTTTGGTGTGGTGCTTAAGTGCGCGGACTCTAATCTGGGAGAGCCAGGTTTGATTCTCGTTCCTCCACTTGCAGCTGCTGGATGACCTTGGGCAAGCCATAGTCCTGTCAGAGCTGTCCTTGAAAAGAGCAGTTCTCGAAAGAGCTCTCTCAGCCCCACCTCCCTCACAGGGTGTCTGTTGTGGGGAGGAGAAAGGAAAGGATTTTTTAAGCCGCTCTGAGACTCCTTTGGGTAGTGAAGGGCGGGGTATAAATCCAATCTTTTCTTCGTCGTCTTCATCTTCTTCTTCGTCTTCTTCTAAAAGCACCCCCCCCCTCTCTCTCCCCCTCCCGAGAGCCCAACACGTTCAGGTGCCACCTGCCACCCGGCAAGTGGTGCTTGTTCTGTTCCCAGTGAGCTGGGCATTGCCTTGTGTGGAAATCATGCTTTGCTGCAAAGCCAGTAAATGTGGGTTGCTCTTCCCCTTTTTCCATAGGGTGTTTCCCCCAGTCTTGTTTTCAGTGTATTTATAAGGGCTGGAACATGCCATTGTTCCCTCTAAGCTGAGTTAGTGTGAGCCAGCTCACAGGTTTTTAGCCTCCGGCTCACACGTTTCTGTCTCCGCTCAGGAAGAAGGGCTCCAGAGCAAACTAATTTATCCAGCAGCCCAATCGCTCGCTCGCAACTTTAATGCCGGCAGCTCACAGAGCAGATTTTTTGCTCACAAGGAGACTCCGCAGCCTAGAGGGAGCTTTGCTTGTTGTCCTCTGATCACGTTCTGTGGGAACAAGTCTGATTAATGCACGTCGCCTTTTGTCATTTCCTTGGGGAACCGCCGAGGTGGTTCCTGGTCGCCTGCGGATGGCGAATCCCTAGTGGGGCTGCCATTCTGGCCTGTGATGCCTCCTGGCCCGGAGCGCCCCAGCGCTGGTGGGCAACTGCTCCGTGGCTGTGCCTTGCGTGCAATTGGCAGGCCTACCGCCGTCACAGACAAGGGCAAAAATCATTGTGGGTTTTCTTCTGCTGGCACAGGGAAGCTGAAGCTGCTCCTGGATTTTTTATCCTCCTTCTGGCAGGAGGCTAATAAATCAGATGGATCTTTGGCCTTTGAAAGGAACACCGTCAAGAGAACGGAGTCCTGGGCAGTGTTCCCTCTAAGCTGAGTTAGTGTGAGCCAGCTCACAGTTTCTTAGCCTCCGGCTCACACGTTTTTGTCTTCACTCGGGAAGGGATGGCTCCAGAGCAAACTAATTGATGCAGCAGCCAAATCGCTCACTCACAACTTTAATGCCGGTAGCTCACCAAGTAGAATTTTTGCTCACAAGATTCCACAGCTTAGAGAGAGCATTGGTCCTGGGTTATGGGAAACGACCCAGAGCGAGGGGAAGGGAGCAGACCCCTGCAGAGACGTGGCTGGGGGCGTGGGGGGGAGGGGGGAGCTCGCACGGCAACAGCTGCCCTTTTCTTGTGCTGACCCGGCTTCCTGCCGCCCTGTGTGGCCTCCCTTAATTAAGGCGTCCCGTTCCGCCCCGCCCCCCCCCACACCATTGAGCTTGTTTAGGGTGACCTAATTGTAGGACAGTTGTCAACAGAAAGGGAGAGGAAGGGGGGCGGGTGGGATGGACGGGGGGGGGCTCCAAGCATCATTATGTTGCGTTGCCAACCGAGGGGGGGGGCAGTTTGCCAAACAGAGAGACGTTTAACATGTTTGAAAGGCACTGCCAAAGCAGGACGGTGCAGGAGTCCGTGTGGGCGCCTCCTCTTGCGAGGGTGCTTGGGAGAGGGACGCCGTGACTGATTCTGGGACGACCAGGCCCATCGGGGTTTCCTCGGGAAAACTCCTGCAGAGTGCACGTTTTCCTTTGACTGTGGGCTGTGGCAAAGGAGAGGGACCCCCCTACAGAAGACTGCTCATGCCAGCTCTGGCTCCCTGGGGGGACAGAGACTCCCAGCTGCCTTGGGTGGGGGGGGGGTGGATCCTCGTCATGCTCTCACCACGTTGGGATTCCTGGTGTCTTCGGTGGGCCACTGAAATTGATTTGATCCTCCTTGGAAGCTGTCCTTTCAGGGGTGTCTTTTCTGGGCCTTCACAGTGTGTGTGTGTGTGTGGGGGGGGGTGTTCCTTAAAGTCGGCCTCCCAGCTGCAGAGAGCGTCTCATTGCATGCCGATGCTTCCCTGTAGAAACACAAGTCGGGCAACTTCCCTGCTGCTTGGTGCCGTGGTTTGAGGCCCCAGAGTGGGTCAGGTCCAGTGTTCCCTCTAAGCTGAGTGAATGTGAGCCGGCTCACAGTTTTTTAGCCTCCGCCTCACGTGTTTTTGTCTTCGCTCAGGAAGGATGGCTCCAGGGCAAACTACTTTATGCAGCAGCCAGATCGCTCGCTCAGAACTTTAATGCCGGTAGCTCACCAAGTAGAATCTTTGCTCACAAGACTCCGCAGCTGAGAGGGAGCCTTGCTTGAGACTACTGTCTTCTTATACGGTTCTACTTGCAACCAGTGTTCCCTCTAAGCTGAGTGAGTGTGAGCTAGCTCACAGTTTTTCAGCCTCCGGCTCACGTGTTTTTGTCTTCGCTCAGGAAGGAGGGCTCCAGGGCAAACTACTTTATGCAGCAGCCAAATCACCTGCTCACAGCTTTAATGCCAGGAGCTCGCAAAGTAGAATTTTTGCTCACAGGACTCCACAGCTTAGAGGGAGCATTGCAGGGCTTTTCTAGTGGTGGGTCTTCTTGGGGCCAGGAGGGTGGGTGAGTGGGTGGGTAGGGGAGCCAGGAAAGGAAGGTCTGAAGGCTCAGTGGCAAGTTTCGGTTTGCCTCTGCAGGATGTGTGAATTGCTCAGTAACGCTAAATACGAAACTACAAAGATGAACTTTTTGAGTGTTAAATGAGGGGCAATTGCTGTTTCTTATTCTAGAGATGGGGAAGTTGGAAACTGCAGTAGGCTTGGAAGTGAGTCCCATTTCAAAAATTTTGGAAACTGGTGCCCTGGTACGGTTTCTCCAGCTGGGGAGTGGAGGTCCCCGTCTGAAGGTGGGAGAGACGCTTTCTGGTGGGCCCCGTCTGGGGTGGAAACACAGTGCTTCCATCACATTTTCTCCGCCCTCGACCGTGGGCTGGGTCAAGGAGGCGTTCTGGAGTTCTGCGCTCTCCAGGGGCATGCAGGCCCAACTTGGATCACGACCAGTGTTCCCTGTAAGCTGAGTGAGTGTGAGCCAGCTCACAGTTTTTTAGCCTCCGGCTCACACATTTTTGTCTTGGCTCAGGAAGGATGGCTCCGGAGCAAACTAATTGTATGCAGCAGCCCAATCGCTGGCTCACGACTCTAATGCCAGGAGCTCACAATGCAGAATTTTTGCTCACAGGACTCCACAGCTTGGAGGGAGCATTGCGACTGCCGGGGGGGGGGTTCCTTTGGTGTCTCCCCTGTGTTGTTTCCTTGACCCGAACATCACAGTGGAGCTGGTGTTGATACTGCTGTTGGCCACAGCCGCACTTGGCACCTTGACGGGGCCATCTCAGGCGAGGCAGGTTGTGTCCGTGCAGCCTCTCCCCACGTGCCATGGTCCTGATCCAGATAGGGCCCCCCACGTGCCTGGGAAGCACAGAACTGCCGAGCACGACTCTCAAGCCACGGTTGTGCCCGGGGGAAACGCAACATGAAGTCGGGTCTTCCATTTTCTTACAGTGGGGGCTGGGTCCCCTGCCCCAAGGGGCAGAATGGGCTTCCCCCTCTTCTGAGGGCCAAGAGCGCAAGAGGACCAGCCGCCCTGTGAGGCCTGGCCTTAGAGGCCCTGGGCAGGCCTCGGGAGCAGTGTCCCCTCTAAGATGAGTTAGTGTGAGCTAGCTCACAGTTTTTTAGCCTCCGGCTCACACCTTTTTGCCTTCGCTCAGGAAGGATGGCCCCAGAGCAGTGTTCCCTCTAAGCTGAGTTAGTGTGAGCGAGCTCACAGTTTTTTAGCCTCCGGCTCACACCTTTTTGCCTTAGCTCAGGAAGGATGGCCCCAGAGCAGTGTTCCCTCTAAGCTGAGTTAGTGTGAGCGAGCTCACAGTTTTTTAGCCTCCGGCTCACACATTTTTGTCTCAGCTCAGGAAGGAGGGCTCCAGAGCAAACTCATTTATGCAGCAGCCAAACCGCTCGCTCACAACTTTAATGCCGGTAGCTCACAAAGGAGAATTTTTGCTCACAAGACTCCACCGCTTAGAGAGGGAGCCTTGCTCGGTCGCGTGGCTGCTCAGGGCCTCCGTGTGTGGTTCCGAGGGTGGAAGCCGTGTGCAGGGCATGCAGGGCCTGCCGCTCATGCCTTGCAAAGGGGCTCTCCAGCACATCACTTGTGCCGGCCACAGAGGAGGGAGGGCTTTTGAGGGTCTGTGGAAATTTTAAATCAAAACGGGAGGCCTTGGGCTGCCATCTTAGTGCTCAGAGCTGACTGGACCGGCGGCCTCCCAGCAAAGCTCCTGAAGGTGTAGTGGGGATTCCCTCCGGGGGGGGGGGTGAGCCTGTTGCTTGTGCCCATTGGAGGCCCTGCCAGCCGCTTCGTGGCCCCGAAAGGCCCCTGATGCCTCCCTTCTCTTTGTCTGTTGCAGGACCAGCTGAAGCAGTGCTTTGGCCGGCCGGCGGCTGAGGCCAAGGACACGGACACGCTGGTGCGCGAGGCCGACAGCCAGTATGGCACCTGGAGTGACCAGCGGCACAGCGGGGACAGGTGAGAGGCCTTGCGGGGCAGGCAGCCGGGGACCGGAGGGCTCGCCTCGTCCCCTCTCCGGAGCCCCTCTTGCCTCGAGACCTCCTGGAACAAGTGGGAGGCGGGCAGGAGCTTTTCCGGGTCTGTCCTTGGACGTAGGCACACGTGCACTCTGGGCTCCAGTTCCCCACTGCAAAGCAGGAGCAGCGAAGGCCCCACACCGCAAGCGCACGTGGCCCGTGCGGGGCCCTCGGAGCTCAGCAGCTTGGGGGCTCCTGCCCCAGCTGGAGGGGCCCCACTCGAAACGCGCCTGCTTTGTGTCTCCTCTCGGCCCGAGACCTCGCCTGGCCTCCTGCCCCTGCCCGGCAGCACCCCGGCTTCCAGCCCCTCTGCATTAAGGTGGTCTGCTCTGCCCCCCTTGCTTGCCTCTCCCCTGTACCAGGGCTCACCTCCTGTTGGACCTCCCCCCCTCCCCTCTTCCTGCCTCTCCCCACTCCAGAACCCACACGTTAGTCAGAGCAGCCTCTCTGGCAGGAGAGAAGCAGCCGCCCTCCCCACCACCTCCTGCCCTCCCTCCCTCCCTCCCTCCCCTTTAGGCCAAGCCTTCCCTGCCCCATCCCACACACACCCCACGGTCCCCCCACTCTCCCCTGCCTTCATCCTTCCCTGTGGCGTCTGCATCCTTTGGCTTCCCCCTCTCCAGGGCGGGTGGCCTCCCTGTCCTGAAATCAGGAACCCGCCACACCAGAGACAGAAGAAGCTTTGCTTTCCCTCCCTGCCCTCCTCCCTGGAGGTCCCTTCCGGCTCTAAGATGGCAGCCCCCAGGTGGAATTGCCCGGGGTGGGGTGGGGGGGGAGCCCTCTTGAAGGAGAGCCCTAGTCAGGTCTGCTGCAGCCCTCGGTAGGTCCTTAACTGTTCTGCTCCGGAGGGGTCTCTTTCTCCAGTTGTTATTGTCGGTCTCAGTGCTCCAGGAGGGGGCCTCTGAGTTGCCTCTGGATGGGACAGTGCCCCCCGGGAGGAAAGGGGGGCTGCTCGTTGCGGGAGGGATGGGCTCCAGCCCACGCATGGCGAGGATCCTCTGCCCGACCTGGCTGGTGGAGCAAGTGCCGCGGGAGGTGCTCTGTCGGCTTCCGAGGGGTTGCCGTAATCCCCAGGCTGGAAGCCGGGCTGCTGTTCCCAGAAGGCCCCTGCTTGTCTCTCTGGGCATGGTGAAGCCGCCCCTCCCTGCCCCCCCCCCAAAAGAAGCAACATCCAGGGGAGGGGAGGGGAGGGGAGAGGATTCCTTTTTTTAATATCTGAAAGGAGCATGCCGCCTCTGAGGAGCGACTCCAAAAACTGAGGGAGTTTAAAGTTTAAATCCCCCCTCTCTGAAGTCACACCACCGTGGCTGCCCCTCACCAACAACTGGGGAGGATCATTTTTTTAAAATAAATTAATTTTTATTTGTTTTATCCAATGCTTTTACATTCCAAGTTTTTTAGCGTCTTACAATTTTTCCTCCCCTTCCCTCCCTCCTCCCTTCCCTATCTTCGTGTAGTCCTTAGTCTTTTCTCTCCAGCCACGGGCACAAAGTCAAAATCTTCCACCGAATGTCTTCCTTTCCCTCCTTGGATATCCACTCCAGATAGGTCTTCCACCTTTTCCAAATTTCTGCGGATTTCCCTTCCCAGGATGCCTCCTTGCGTAGGACTGCCGCGATGACTGACTGTATGAAATCAAACAGATAGCTGTGCCAGATTTCCACTGTCCACTTACTTTTATCCTTCCAGCCCCAAGCTATAGCTGCTTTCCCCGCCAATATCATAGCCTTAACTAGGGCTTGGTCTTCCTTATCCACACTTGAGTTTCCCATTGTGCTTGTCAGCATTAAATTGAAATCTATATTTAAATTTATTTTAGCTACCTTCCTTATAGCTTTAGTAATTTCCAACCAAAATATCCTTACTTCACTACACTCCCACCACATGTGTGCATACCAGCCTTTAGATTGCCTACAGTGCCAGCAAAGTGAACTTGATCCTGGGAACATGTTAGCCAGTTGAGCCGGTGTCTTATACCATTTCGTGAGAAATTTATATTCCAATTCTTTGAATCTAAAT